ACGCAACGGCAGGGAGTAAGGGAAGTCGATCGCGGCCTGTCGCGGGGCCACTCCTGGGCGAGCTCGCCCCTTCCGCCGTTTTCTGCGAGCCCAGGCGAAGTGATCCCAGTGTTCGCGAGCCCGCGGGTAGTCAGCCCACGCCTCCTGGACCCCATAAGCCAGGGATCGCCCTGCACGCGCCGGGCGAGGCGAGGTCTTTCTCCAGACGGCGCCTCCGCAGCAGGCGCGCGCGCCTGATCGGCGGGGGGCCGGCGGGAGGCGCGCGTCTGTCGCGCGCCGCTGCCTCTGCCGCCCGCAGCGACGACTGCCAATCTACAGTCCACGACGCAGCCACCAAGACAGCCGGCGCGGGGGGGGCTCTGGATCTCCGCTCGCGCACCGGAATCTCCCGCGGCCATGCTGCCCGAACCGCGCAGGCGGCTGCTCGGCCTGGGTCGGCGGCCCCATGGCCTCGCTGGCCGGCGCGGACCAGGAACGCGCTGGCGAGCTTGCCGGAGCGTTCGCGCACACTGGGGAGTCGACGGCGGCGTCGTCACCGCGGCCCGCCCACCGGGGGCGTTGGGCCAGATCGCTCGCGGGGCTCTCTCCGCCATCGCGCGCCTGGCCACTGCCGCGGCCGCAGTGCTCGACTTGGCCCAGACTGGCGCGGCCGGGCGACGCAGGCCGCGGCGGTGCAGCGCGGCCGTCGGCAACATGAGTCGGCGCGGGGCAAGCTCGCCCGGTCCCTCTGGGCCCGGGATGCCGTCGCCAGGCAGAGATTGGTCGTAAAAATATGGATCGAGGTGCCCTTCCTCTGCGCCCCTCCCAGATCCCCGCGCGTCGCCCGCCTCGCCCCTATCCGACCGTGACTGGGCGGGGGCCCCGCTTGAGTTGAACGGAGAGGGGGCGTCGGCGGGTCTAGAGCCCGCCGCCCCTGCCCCCCCGAGGGCCCCCCCCGCGCCCCGCATCGCCCGGAGATCGACGGGCGCGGCCCGCGCGGGACCGACGGGATCGGCGGCGCAGCGTCGACGAGATTGGCGGCGTGGCATCGACAAGATTGGCGCGCGAAAGATTGACCTGGGAAGGCTCGCAGGAGGCGCCCCGCGACGCGATTCGAGTCGCCCCCGTGGAACTCGGACCACGCAAGGCCCGTTCGGCGCCGACATCCAGAACCGCCCCCTCGAACCCCTAGTCGACGCCCACACCTGCGACCGCGTCGACAGCCCCCTCCGTCTCGACGCCCCTCTCCTCTTCAATGGCCACCTCCTCGTCGCCCTTCTCGCCATCCTCATCGGGCGCGTCGTCGAGGACGTTCCTGACCTCCTCCACCTCCGGCCCGAACTACGACGGCGGGCTCGAGCTCCGCGCCCAGCATCTCGCCGCGCACGTTCGCCCCGCACGCGCTGATCGGGGCACCGAAGCAGGCGATGGCGGGCCCCAGATCCACCCCCAGCGCCTCGCTGAGCAGGGCCCGGTGCAACTGCCCCCGCCCGCCCTTTGTCCGCGCGCTGATTGGGGCGTTGGATTAGACGAGGATGACGATGACGACGATGATGATGATGCTGCTGATGATGCTGGTGGTGGGCCCCAGCTTCACAGCCGGCATCTCGCCAAGCGCGTTCGCCCCAAGCGCGCCGATGGGGGCGATGCGGCAGACGACGGCGGGCTCTAGCTTCACCTCCAGCCTCTCGCTAAGAAGCGCCATGGCCGGCTGCCCCTGCCCATGCCTGCGTTTCTCGCGCGCGCAGATCGGGGCGCGGGAGTCGGCGCTGGCGGGCTCAGGCTTCGCCCCCAACACCTCTCGGAGAAGCGCCCGGGTCGGGCGACGGTGCCCCTGCTGGTTCTTCTCGCGCGCGCTGAGCGGGGCGCTGTAGCAGACGGAGACGATGGCGGGCTTCGGCCTTATTTGTCGCATCCCTCGGAGTAGCGCCAGGGTCGGCCGCCGCCGCCCCTGCGAATCCTTCTCGCGCGCGCTGATCGGGGCGCCGCGGCACATGACGATGACGGATTCCAGTTTCAACCCCAGCATCTCGTTGAGCGGCAGCAGAGCCGGCCGTGACTCCTCCTGCCCGTCCTTCCCGCACGCGCTGATCAGGGCGCTGTAGTGGACGATGGCGGGCTCCAGCTTCGCGCCCAGCATCTCGCCGCGCGGTTTCGCCCCGCGCGTGCTGAGTAGAGCCGGGATCGGCTGCCGCTGCTCCTGCCAGTCCCCCTCGCACGCGCTGGTCGAGGTGCTGTAGCAGATGGCGATGGCGGGCTCCAGGCTCACCCCGCGAATCTAGCTGAGCAACGCCAGGACTGTCTGCCACTGCCCCTGCCAGTCCTTCTGGCCCGCGCTTGTCGGGGTGCTAGAGTAGACGTTGATGCTCGGCTCCAGCTTGAATCCCAGCGTCTCTCGGAGTAGCGCCAGGATCGGCTGCCGCTGCTGCTGCTGCCAGTCCTTCTCGCACGCGCTTATCAGGGTGCTGTAGCAGATGATGGTGGGCTCCAGCTTCCCTCCCACCATGTCGTTGAGCAGCGCCAGGACTGTCTGCCACTGCCCTTGTCAGTCGTTCTCGGACGCATTGGCCGAGGTGCTGGAGCGGCTGAAGGTGGGCTGCAGCATCACTCCCAACATATCTCGGGATCTCGGGGCAGCGCATGGGCCGGCCCCTGCCGCTCTCTCTCGCACGCGTTGGTCGGGGTGCTGGAGCAGCTGATGGTGGGCTCCAGCATGACTCCCAACATATCTCGGAGCAGCGCAAGGGCAGGCTGCCACTGCTCCTGCCAATCCTTCTCGCACGCATTGGTCGGAGTGGTGTTGCTGGTAGACCCCATAGCTTTGCTAAAAAATTCGAGCCGGAACGATCTGCACTGGTCCAGGGGCCCGAAACAAGGCGATAAGTTCTTCGTGCTGATCACGGTCGCGCTGCTGAAATCTATCGTGCTGCCCATGATGGTGCAGACGGGGTCCGTCATGCAGCACACGCTCCTGTCGATGGAGTCCGTCATGATGTTCCAGACCAAGAGGCGCTCGGCCGGGCCGCCGCGCGGGCCGCAGCTGCCGCCGCCTGGGCGAGGGCGGTCGTCGCCGCCCAGAGCCCTGCAGCGGCCGCCGCCGCAGCAGCGTCCGCGGCGCCCGCAGCGGCGCCAGCCGCGCCCGCGGTGACCACAGCGTCAGCGGCGCCCGCAGCGCCAGAAACGCCAGGGGCCCGCGCGGCGCCAGCAACGCCAGCGGCATCGGCAGCGCCCGCAGCACCCGCGGCGCCCGCGGCGCCCGCGGCGCCCGCGGCGCCCACGGCGCCAGCGGCGCCAGCAGCGCCAGCAGCGCCAGCAGCACCAGCGGCGCTCGCCGCGCGTGCAGCCCCGGCGGCACCTGCGGCGTCCACGGGGCCAGGGGCGCCCGCGGCGCCCGCAGCGTCGGCAGCGCGGACGGAGGCAGCCGCCCGCTGCCGCCGTCGCCGCGCTGCCGCGATCTCCACCGTGCCAGGGCTGGAGCGCCGAACCTTAGTCAGGGGCGTGCTCGAGCCCTGACGGCTTGAGCAAAGGGGGGTAAGGAAGACAGACAGGCATACACAAAAGCAGACGGACAAGCAGAAAGACAGACAGGCAGAAATACGGGCATCGAGGTAGAGACAGAAACACATACGTGGCGAGACAGAGACAAAGACAGAGAGACACACACATGATCCCGAGTCGAGGGTTCACAGGCACCCCCCTGGAGATGGGATGGGCCACTAGGTTCCACAGCCTCCTCCCCAGATGTGATGGAGGGACGACGACGCCGACGCCGACGCCGACGCCGACGCGGACGCGGACGCGGATGCCGCCGACGCAGACGCAGACGGTCGACGGTCGACGGTCGACGACGACGACGACGACGACGACGACGACGACGACGACGACGACGACCACGACCACGACCACGACCACGACGACGACGGCGACGACGACGACGACGGCGGCGACGACAACGACGACGACGACGACGACGACGACGACGACGACGACGACGACGACGGACGACGGACGACGGACCACGGACGACGACGACGACGACGACGACGACGTCGACGAAGACGACGAACCATCCCACATCCACATGTGGAGGGGGGGATGCACCAGCACTATCCACCACGCCACGCCCACAGGGCCGCGATCACGGGAGGGGGGCGATCCCATTCGCGAGGCCTTCGCGAGGCTCACGGGCGTACCCATCCAGCTCGATCCCATACGCATTTGGGGGGAAGGGGGGGGCAGCGCCCTGGATCATATGTAGACAGAGGCCGAGGCAGAGACAGGGAAAGCTACGAAGAGACACACAAACAGAGACATAGAGACAGAGACAGACAGACAGAGAGACAGAGAGAGGGAGAGAGTGACAGAGGGGAGGAGGGTTGGGAGTTTGGGGCCCTTTTGGGCTCTGGGAGGCCTCCGTCCAGATGCCTCTCGAGGCCCAGGGAACCTCTGGAGACCTCCACAGGCCCTCGGAGGAGGGAGGAGAGAGGAGGGAGGGAGAAGGAAAAGGGAAGGGGAAGTGGAGGGAAGAGGAAGGGAAGAGAAAGCACTAGGAATTTGATGAAGATGAACAAAGAGGGGAATAAATGAAAAGGGAGGAAAGCGGAGGGAAGAGGACGGAGGAGGGAAGAGGCTGAGGCAGGAGGAGAGATGAGCACGAAGTGACGGGAGTACCACCACAAGCACGGTCACGACCACGACCTTGACGACGACTTTGACGACGACGACGATGACGACGACCACGACGACTACAACGACGACCACGACAACGATGACGACGACGACAACCACGACGACGACCACGATCACGACGCCGACGACGACCACGACCACGACGACGACCGCAACCGCCACCCCCACCGCCACCGCCACCGCCACCGCCACCACGACGAGGCCGACGACGACGACGACGACCACGACGATGAACATGATGACGACGACGACCACCACCACCACCACCACCACCGCCACCGCCACCACCACCACCACCACGACGAGGCGAGGCAAGGTCTGGCGCGGAATCCTCACAGCGACCCCTGCGGGCCCTCAACGCCAGCGTCCGACCGTCGCGCCTTCAGCTCCTTGACGGCCCGGAGCCTCTCCTGGAGCACGACCTCCAGGTCTTCGATCTCCTCCCAGTGGGGGAGGGGAGAAGTCGAGGAGGGAAAGGGCAATTGCCTCGGAATTGCCTGACACCCACAGACGGTGGGAGGAGGGGAAGGGGAAGAGGGAACCGAGGAAGGGGAGAGGGAGTAGAGGAGGAAGGGAAAGGTGAACCAAGGAAGGGGCGGGGGTGTCGAGAAAAAGTGGGGGGAGGGGAAACAGCAGAGGGGAAGGGGGAGTCGAGGAAGGGGAGGAGGACGTGGACGCCCACAAGGCGGATGAGGATGGGTGCCAAGACTGGGCGCATTCCGCCCTCTTACTCCCTCACAGTGCCTCCTCCTCCTCCTCCTCCTCCTCCTCCTCCTCCTCTTCCTCCTTCTCCCCCTCCTCCTCCTCCTCCTCCTCCTCCTCCTCCTCATCATCATCATCATCATCATCATCATCATCACCACCACCACCACCATCACCATCACCATCACCATCACCATCACTGCACCATCACCATCACCATCATCATCATCATCATCATCATCATCATCATCATCATCTCATCATCATCATCATCATCATCATCATCATCATCATCATTCTCATCATCATCATCATCATCATCATCATCATCATCATCATCATCATCATCATCATCATCATCATCATCACCATCATCATCATCATCATCATCATCATCATCATCATCAGCAGCATCATCATCATCAACAGCATCAGTATCATCATCATCATCATCATCAGCAGCAGCAGCAGCAGCATCAGCATCATCATCAGCATTAGCATCATCACCATCTTCATCATCCTCATCAGCAGCAGCATCATCATCAGCACCATCATCATCCTCAACCTACTCCTACTCCTCCTCCTCCTCCTTCTCGAACGCCTGCTCCTGCTCCTGCTCCGCCTCCCCATCCTCATCATCTCCCTCCGGACGAGACGAAGAAGGAGAGGGTTGAGGAAGGAGGAGGAGGAGGAGGAGGAGGAGGAGGAGGCGGAGGGAGGCGGAACAGGACGACGACGCGGACGACACAGACAACGACGACGACGAAGACGACGACAACACAGCCGCAGACGCAGATGCCGACGCAGGCGACAACGATGACGACGAGAGGCCTCTGGAGTTCTACAGAGATGCTCAGTCCCTGGAGGTCCCAGAGGCATCCGAAGCCTACTGACGCTGGTCTAACACATGTAATCCGTCTGACGGCAGATGGTAATCTTCAAACTAATATGGAAAGAATCCTCATCGTCGTCCTTGTCACTACGGAGGCCCTCTTCCTGTCTGGTTCATGCTGGTCCTTGCCGGCGCTTACAAGCTTGATTGAGGATGACCAGCCACGGATTACAAGGGACGCTCGCCAAAAGAACGAGGCTCCCGCTCGAGACTTTCTTAAGATTCCGACTCCCAGGTGTCACCAAACCTATGCTTCCAGGGAATCCCGCTGGCCGACTCGGATCAATAACACGAAGCGGGGGGTCCGTAGGGAGGGGATCCCGCTCGCGACTTCCTCGGGGTTCAGGCTCCCAGCAACCCGGTTGCCGCCTCGGATTGCCAACGCGAGGCGGGGACCCCGTAGCGAGGGGGCGCCCGCTCGAGACTTCCTCGCGGGTTACTCACAACAGAGGCTCCCGCTCCAAACATCCTCTCAGCTTGCTCACAGACAAGGCTCCCGCTCGAGACATCCTCGGGGTTCAGGCTCCTAGGTGTCCCCAAACCTGTCTGTTGCATCGTGTTCAGATGGTCGTCTCGGATTACAAACACGAGGCGGGGGCGCCGTAGGGAGGGGGTTCCCACTCGAGACTTCCCCGCGATTCACTCACACACGAGGCTCCCGCTTGAGACATCAGCTCAGTTTGCTCACAGACAAGGCTCATGCTCGAGACGCCCTTGGGATTCAGGCTTCCAGGTGTCACCAAATCTTGATGTTATAAAGAATCCCGATGGCCGCCTCGGATTATCAACATGACCTGCTGGGAGGGAGCTCCCGCTCGAGACTTCATCTCAATTCACTCACCGACGAGTCTCCCGCTGGAGACATTCTCGGGATTGAGCCCCCCAGGTGTCACCAAACCTGGGTTTTGAAGGTTTTCCCACGACCGCCTCGGATTACCAACATGATCTGCGGGCCCCATAGAGGGGGGGGGGGGCTCCCGCCCGAAACTTCCTTGGAAGTCTGTCAAAGACGAGGCTCCCGCTCGAGGCTTCCTTGGGATTCAGGCTCGCAGGTGTCACAAACCTGTGGTTTCACATGGTATTCCGATGGCCGCCTTGGATTGCCAACATGTTGTGGGGACCCCGTAGAGAGGGGGCTCCCACTCGCGAGCTCCTCGCAGTTCACTCACAGACGAGGCTCCCCCTTAAGACCTCCTCCGTACCAGTGTACGAGTGCCTGTGTGTGTGAGTGAGTGGGTGCGCGATTGTGCGTGTGAGATGATGATGATGATGATGGTGGTGGTGATGATGATGATATTGTTGAATGTGATGGTGGTGATGATGGTGATGATGATGTTGATGATGCTGGTGATGCTTATTGGTAGCAACAATGATGGTGAGATGATGATGCTGATGATGAGGATGATGGTGATGCTGATGATGATGATGGTGATGATGACGATGCTGCTGATGGTGATGATGATGACGGTGACGATGGTGATGATGGCGGTGGTGATGGTGATGGTGATGATGAAGATGAGGAGGAGGAGAAGGAGGAGGATGAGGAGGGTGGTGGTGATGATGGCGACGACGCCGACCACGACAACGACCACGACAACGACCACGACGACAACAACGGTGATGATGACAATGATGATGATGACGATGCTGATGACGATGATGATGATGATGATGATGATGCTTGGGATGGTGATGGTGATGGTGATGATGATGGTGCTGATGCTGATGATGGAGATGCTGCTGATGATGACGACGATAACGGCGACGACGACGATGATGATGATGATGATGATGATCGGGGTGATGATGATAATGGTGGTGCTGATCGTGATGGTGATAGTGGTGATGATGGTGATGGTGTGATGGTAATGGTGATGATGACGATGATGATGATGATGATGATGATGACAACGACGACGGCGACGACGGCGACGACGATGATGATGATGATGCTTGCGATGATGGTTGCGATGATGGTGATGATGATGGAGGCGGTGATGATGGTGATGCTGCTGTTGATGATGATGACGATGGTGATGATGATGATAACAATGATGATGATGATGATGATGATGATGATGATGATGATGATGATGACGACAAGAGGAGGGGGTGAGGAGGAGGTTCCTGCGCAGGGCGTCCAGAGATTACTCCGACGGCAGGACCCCACATCAGAATCTATCTAGATTGCCCTTCGCTCGTTCCTCTTCGCCCTGGCCGACGACCCCCGTCTCGCCCTCTGTTGCGCCTCCTCCTCCTCATCCTCCTTGTCTTCCTCGCCCTTCGTCTCATCCTCCTGCTCGCCCTCCTTGTTCAACTTCTCCTCTTCCTCTTCGGTCGGTTCCCCCTCCTCCTCTATCTCCTTTTCCTTCCCCCCCCTTCATCTCCATCCCGCCTTTTCTCCCCATGCACGACCCCAACTGGTCTCTGCTGCTCTCAGCGGGTCTCTGCTGGTCTCTGCTGATCTCTTCTGGTCCCTGCTGATTTCTTCTGCTCTCTGACGCGACCTGCTGATGATATATGACATATGCTGCCGTGTAATGCAATAGGAGCCCCATAAGAAGGGGGCTCCCGCCTGAGACTTCCTTGCAACCAATTCACATACGCGTGAGGAACACCTCGTGATGTGCCCCTTTGGGGTGCTCAAATGCCATGCCTGGTGGAGTTTGCCGATGACCCGCTCAGATTACCAACATGAAGTGCGGGTCCCATAGTGAGTGGGCCCCAGCCTAACACTTCCTCGCGATCCACTCACAGACAAGGCCCCCGCGAGAGACGTCCTCCATGTTCAGTCCAGAAGAGCCGAAAAGCGACGACAATCCGACCCGCCCTTTGGGCGCAGGTGGTCTGACGATGTCGTTCTTTCCTCTTCCAAAACCCCCTTTTCCCCTTCGGGGAGGGGCTTACCCCTCCCCCTACCCCCTCCCCTTGACCTGGACGGGGGGATTCGCGAGGTGGCAGAAGGCCCCCTCCCTGTCAAGATGGCTCCAAGATGGCCTCAGAGAGAGCCCAAGATAGCCTCCAAGATCACTCAAGATAGCCCAACATGGCCCAAGAAAAGTAACAACATGCTTCCAAGAGGCCCCAAGAGGGCCACAAGACGGTTCCAGGTGCTCTCAGAGCTCCCTCGGGCCCCGCCCGAGAAGCCAAAATCCCTCAAACACCTCAGGCAAATCAATGATTTGTGCCTTCTCGCCTTTTCGCCTCCGATGCGCTTTTGAAGCCTCGACATGGCCCCAAGATGACCCAAGAAAGCTCCAAGAGAGGCCCAAGAGGCACCCAAGACGGCCCCAAGAGCACCCAAGATCGCTCCAAGAGCGCCCCAAGAAGGCCCCAAGAGGCGATTTTGATGGCCCCGGAAGGGGGAGGCAAATCGAGGACCCCCCCTCCTTGGATCGATGGTCTCCAAGGCGGCCCCAAAGAGGCGCTCCATAGCTCCCAAGAGGTCCCCAAGAGAACCCCAAGAGAGCCCCAAAAGAGCCCCAAGAGGGCCCCATGAGGGCCCTAAGACGCCCCCCAAAAAAAACCAAGAGGACCCCAAGACCCCCAAAGAGCCCCGAGAGGGCTCCAATATGCCCCAAAAGAATTTCAAGAGGACTCCAATATCCCCCTCCTCCTCCTCCTTCTTATTATTAGTATCATTATTATTATTCTTATTATTATTATTAGTATTATTATTGTTGGTATTAGTATTATTAGTATTGTTATTAGTCTTATTAATACTATCATTATCATTATTATTAGAAGTACTATTATTGTTATTGTTATTACTGTTATTATTGATAGCATTAATATTATCATTAACATTATGTTCATCACTATTGTTATTATTGATTTTATTACTAACATTAGTAGCATTGTGATTGTTATTACCATTCTTATTATTACTACTAGTATTATCAGTATTATTAATCGTTTACTTATCAGTATTCCTCTTCTTCCTCCTCTTCTTCCTCCTCCTCCTCCTCCCCCACCCCTCGCCCCCACGCAGCCCCCAGGGATGGCCCGAAGAGGCCTTCCAAGGCCACCCCCTTGCTCCCAGAGATCTCTCGGTTCACCCTGGTTGCTCGCTTTGTTTCCCTAGATGTGTCTGTTCGTCCTTTTTCCGTCAGCTCTCGTGGGCAGGGCTTCTGAAAGGACTGGTGGGGATGTTTTGATCGCGAGCGCAAACGGAAGGGCCGCGCGCCGTACAAAGCTACAGCTAACCAGCAGGAGCCGAATTCGCACACGAGGAGAGGTGGGGATACTTTTTTGGTCGGCGGCTCCGAGGCGGTGGACAGGGAGCGGAAGGCGTCGTCTGGGCCAGCAGGCGAGGCTAATTAGTTACAACAGGCAACACACCTGCAGTAATAAAACGCAGAGAAAACGTATGTGCACATGCACTAAGCAAAATGCTCCACATTACGGCGAACGCACCTAGGCGCCAGCCACACAGAGGTGAAGCAGCCGCAGTGCTACGCAGCGGAAGAGTCGCCCTGTCGGCGCCAGTCCGAGAGGTGGGTACACGCGAAGCGTGAAGAATTGCAAGTGCCCGATGACCCGCTCGGATTACCAACATGAAGTGCGGACCCCAATTTGGAAAGGGCTATCGCCTGAGACTTCCTCGCAATTCGCTCACAGACGAAGCGCCCGCCGGAGACTTCCTCCACAATCAATCCACAAGAACCGAAAAGTGACGACAGATACAGGGTTCCGATGACCCGCTTTGATTACCAACATGAAGTGCGGACCCCAATCTGGAGTGGGCTTTCGCCTGAGACTTCCTCGCAATTCACTCACAGGCGAAGCTCCCGCCTGAGACTTCCTCCACATTCAATCCAGAGGAGCCGAAAAAGGACGACAATTAAAGATTCCCGATGACCCGCCCGGAATAACAACATGAAATGCAGACCCCATAGAAAGGGGGCTCCCGCCTGAGACTTCCTCGCAATTCGCTCACAGACGAAGCTACCGCCTCAGACTTCTTCCATATTCAGTCCAGAGTAGCCGAAAAGTGACGAGTTACAGGTTTCTGATGACCCGCCGGGGTTACCAACTTCCTCGCAATTCACTCACACACGAAGCTCCCGCCTGAGCCTTCCTCCACACTCAATCCAGAGGAGCCGAAAAACGACAACGGTTACAAGTTTCTGATGACCCGCCTGGATTATCAACATGAAGTGCGGACCCCATAGGGAGCGGGCTCTCGTCTCAGACGTCCTCGCAATTCACACACCATCGAAGCTCCCGCCTGAGACGTCCTCCATGTCCAATCCGGAGGACAGGAAAAGTGACGACAGATACAGGGTTCCGATGACCCGCCCGGATTACCAACATAAAGTGCGGATCCCATAGGGAGCGGGCTCCCGCCTGAGACTTCCTCGCAATTCGCTCACAGACGAAGCTCCAGCCTGAGACTTCCTCCACATTCAATCCCGAGGAACCGAACATTGACGACGGGTACAGGTTTCCGATGACCCGCCCAGATTACCTATATGAAGTGCGGGACCCATAGGGATCGGGCTCTCGTCTTAGACGTCCTCGCAATTCACTCACAGCCGAAGCTCCCTCCCGCCTGAGACTTCCTCCATATTCAGTCCAGAGAAGCCGAAAAGTAACGAAAATACAGGGTTCCGATGACCCGCTCGGATTCCAAACATGAGGGGCTCCCGCCTGAGACTTCCTAGCAATTCACTGACAGACGAGGCTCACTCTCGGTCGATGATCACGATGGGATGGTGATAGTGATGAATGTGTGATAAAGTGATGGTGATGTTGAGTTAGTGATAGTGACGCAGGTGAGGAGGTGTGCGAACATGATGATGATGATGACGATGATGATGATGATGATGACGATGGTGATGACAAATGATTGTGTGAGAGCGTGCTGATGATTATGTATGAGTGTATGTGCTGGTGATGACGATGATGATGTGTGAGTGTGTGAGGAGGCGAGGGGTGCGGAGGAGGAGGACAGCGCGGAGGCGTGCAGAGAAAACAAGAACTACACTTGGGATGTGGGGTACACAAGAAATCCACTAATGAATTCCAGCATCCTGGGTGTGCGAGCTATGTAGTTCAAGCTTCGTAGTGCAAGCTACGTGGTGCAAGCTACGTGGCGCCGCGCGCGGGGCGCGGCGACCATGGGCGGGAGCCAAGCGAAACCCCAAAACACCCAGCCAATGCACGGGGCGCCCACGAGGCGCACATGGGCGGGCACCAACGGGGCACATGGCGAAACCCCGGCCCACCCACCTGGCGCACGAACCGCCCACGAGCGAGCACCAATCGGGCACAAACCAGGCACATGGCGAAACCTTCCCCCCCCCCGATCCGATCCGAATACTGAAGAAGAGAAGTATGAACTCCCAAGCGCAAACACTCTTTGGGGAATATGTCAAGCGACAAAATGCAAACCACAAACACGCAGGAACGCAAGAGGACATCCAAAAACGCGCGGGAGGTCCAAAAGTGCTGTAGATATGCCACAGAGAGCACACGGGGTAGGCTGACAACTTGAAACAAGCTATGACAACATATACAGGAAACCCCCAAAACTGTGCCTCCTCAGGCCGCCGAGAGCCACCGAGACCCACCGAGGGCCGCCGAGGGCCGCCGACGGCCGCCCAAGGCCGCCGAGGTCGCCGCCGGCCGAGGAAGGCCGAAGAGGCCGCCGAGGGCGCTTCACGACCGCCGAGGAGGCCGCCGAAGGCCGCCCGCTGGGCGCCGAGAAGGCCGGCCGCCCGACGGCCGCCCGACGGCCGCCCGAGGGCGCGGCGGGTGCCTTGTACAACTCGCTGGGGCCCGCTGGCGCAGCGGGCGGCCGCGGGCGGGCCCGGGGCCGAGCCCGCGGACTGCCGAGCAGTAGCAACAGCAGCAAGCCCGCTGCGGCGGCGATGGCGCCTTCGAGAGCCTCGGGCGACGACGCCGTCGGCCGCCGTCGGCCGCCGTTGTCGGCAGTCGTCGGCCGCCGTCGGCCGTCGTACGCCGTCGGCGGGGGTCTTCGTAAGCCGTCGAGCGGAGGCGGAGGCGGAGGCGGAGGCGGAGGAGGAAAAGGGGGGGAGGAGGAGGACGAGGAGGAGGAGGAGGAGGAGGAGGAAGAGGAGGAGGAGGAAAAGGAGTAAGAGGAGAAACATGAGAATAAGGAGGAATGATGATGGTGGTGGTGGTGATGGTGATTATGACGATGGCAATGATGACGGTGATGATGGATATGATGGGTATGATGATGATGGCGATGGTGGTGGTGGTTGTGGTGGTGGTAACCACGACGATGGTGATGCTGATGATGATGATGATGACGATGATGATGGTGATGATGGTGATGGTGGTGATGATGGTGGTGGGGGTGATGAAGATGATGGTGATGGTGATGGTGATGATGATGGTAATGGTGATGGCAACAGTGACGGTGGTGATGCTGATGCTGCTGCTGCTGCTGCTGATGATGATGATGATGATGATGATGATGATGATGATGATGATGATGAAGATATGTAGTTATGTTGCCGAAGACGATGAAAACAGTTTTCCAAGACACGACCGCGGGGCGACGAGGGGTGCCCGAGGGCCAATGCGGAGGAGGGAAGGGGGCGGAAGGCGCAAATGCACGGAGGGCGCGCGGTGCGCTCCTGGCCAACGCCGGGCGCGCCATGGCGGCGGCCGTCCCGCGGGTCCGATCACCGTCGCGGCGAGCGGTTCCTCGGCTTGCCGTCTCCGCCTAGGTTGAGCCGTTCGGGCCTCGCGTCCAGGGTTCCGCCTCCGCGCGCGGGGCGCATGTCCTGCAGCATCCGTGGCAGCGCCGCCGCCTGGCAAGCGCTGGCCCCGCCACCGCAAGGCTGGCGCAGGCCCACGACGCGGGGGCCGTCGGCACAGCGCCCGCACGTCGCGCAGAACACCAGCATGCTGGCGCCATGGCCGATCGTCCAGCCTGTGGGTTCCGCCCTGGTTCTGGTTCCACCAGCGCGGCCGCGGCGACGGCGGCGGCCCCAGCGTTGCGCCAGCTGCCGTTCCCACGGCGCCGTCGGGGCCAGGCGGGTCTGGGCCGCCCGCTGGGCCAGGAGAGATAGGCGCGCGCCGCCGCCTCCGCGCCGCCGTCAGGGCCTGGGGCGTCCGCTGCCCTCGCCGCCTCGCGAAGCCGCCGAAGCGCCGCCGGGCCCGCGGCAGCCCGGCCTGGGGCGGGCGCGGCGGGCGCGATTCCCGCGGGGCCCGCGCTGCTCGCGGCCGCTGCCGCCGTCGGCGATCGGTTTCCGCGGTCGGAGGAGGCCGCCACTGCCGCGGGCACTCGGCCTCCGTGGCCGGATGAGGCCGCGCCGCTGGCGCCCCGCTCGTCGTCGCCGTCGTGGAGCGCCTCGGCGGCGAGCGCCGCGGTCGCCGCCGCGCCGGCCGCGCCAGTTGCCCTCGGGCCCTCGCCGCTCGTCTCCAGAAGGGGTGGGTCGCCATCTTCGGCGGCCGCCCTGTCGCGGGGCGACGGTTTTGCCAAGGGGCCGCTGACATGATGATGGTAATGATGACGACGCTGATGTTGATGCTGATGCGATAACAATGAAGATGATGACGCTGATGATGACGATGACGATGATGACGACGATGACGATGATGACTGCTGATATTGGTAATGATGACGATGATGCTGTCGATGGTACGAATTCTGACGGTGATGATGGGGAAGATGATGGCGGTGATGAGGATGATGATTATGATGATGATGATGATGATGATGATGATGATGATGATGACGATGATGATGATGATGATGACGATGATGATGACGACAGCGCAGATGAGAATGGTGATGATAATACTGCGAACGATGATGACGATGCTGATGACGATTCGGGCACTTCCCTTGCAGCGTCAGCCTCAGCAGGGCAGGTGCGAAGTGACAGGACGGCCGATCAAGGCAGCCTGCGCGCGCCCAGCCGCGGCCCCGCCTCGGCGCCCTGCGCGGCCGCCAGCAAAAGCTCGCCCGGGCGCGGCGTGAGAGCGGCGGAGACCTCGCGGACACCTGCCGCGCGACGTCCATCCCGACGCGACCAGCGGGCTCGCCGGGGAGGACAGCAGCGCGCCGGGCTGCGGCGGCGATGTCCGCGACGAATCGCTGCGCAGCAGGCCCGAGTCTGCCCTCGACCGCAAACGGGGCGACGGCCTCGCCGCACCGGGCCCTCTTGCGCTTCTCCGCGTCGAAGGCCTCGTGGCCGATGGCGCGCGCTGCCGGGCCCGACTCTCCGACTCTCCGGGCGAGCGCGCGGCCGCGTCCACCCGCGTCGGCGCAGGCAGGCCCAGCCAACTGACGACGAGGTCAAGCCGCGCCTCGGTGATCTCTCCGCCTGCCTCCCGGCAAAGCTCCCTCACGTAGCGCTCCGCGTCGGCGCGCCCGCCGTGGGCAGAAATCCAATCTGCCGGGGCCCTCGCGATCTCGTTGCGCAGCCGGATGCGGCGCGGCCCCGCTGAGCAGTGGAGCGCGCGAAGACCCGCGACATCCAAGGGTCTGCCACGCGCGCCCTGTCGCTCGTCGCCACCGCCGGGCGGCGCTGCAGGAGTTCTGGAAGGCGCGCGCGGCGGGGGCACCCAGCAAGCCTAGCAGGACACGGCGCGGGAACATGACCCCGAAAGAGGCGTCGTGGAGGGCCGCCAAGCCTTCCCGCGTGAAACCGCTCCAGAAGGCGCCAGCGCCGAACCCGCCACCTGAAAAAAACAGCCGCGCCCTGCGCGCCGCGGCCAGGCGGGCCCAGAGGCGGGCGGCCGCGAAAGCGAGGCCGCGGCGCGCCCGAGCGGCGAGACAGCGCCGGCTCGCCCACGTGCCCTCGTAGTCCTGGTTCGCCTGCACAAAACGGCAGATGGGCCCCAAGGATGTCGTCGGCCTCCGCGTGGAAGTCGAAGACTGCCTCTGTCGGGGGCCCGGCCGCCCAAGGTCCCCCCTCATACTCGAGCTGGACCTCCGCCGTGAACTCGATGCACCCCGGGCGCAGCTGGACGCCTGCGGCGGCCATCTCGTCGCGTGCCTGGGCGGCCAGGGGCGCGCCAGGGCGGGGACTGGCGACTGGGCGGCCGAGGCGAGAGGCGACCGCAATCACATCGGCCTCCGCCGAGAAGTGGCGCGCCCAGAAGGCCGCCCAGGCGCGCTGCAGATCAGCCGGCCGAGTGCCCAAGTTGCCGACGATGATGGTGATGGTAATGATGATGGTGATGGTGGTGATGATGATGACGAGGGTGATGATGTTGATGGTAATGGTACTAATGACGACGATGACGTTGATGATGACTATGACGACGACGAAAACGACGATAATAATGATGATGATGCTGGTTGATGATGATGGTGGTGGTGATGATGATGAAGCATATGGCGATGAGCAGGATGATAATGGTGATGATAATGATGATGCGAATGATGATGACGATGATGCTGATGGTGATGGTAATGATGCTGATGATGGTGGTGCTGATGATGGCAATGATGCTGATTATGATGATGATATTGATGATGGTGATGATGGTGATAATAATGTGAATGCTGATGTTGGTGGTGAAAACGATGACGACGCTGATGACGATGATGATAATGATGATGATGATGGTTACCATGATGGTGATGATGATGGTGGTGGTGATGCTCTTGCTGCTAATGACGCTGATGATGTTTGATGGTGGTGATGCTTATGATGCTGCTGATTCTGCGGATGAATGTTCATGATGAATGTAATGGTGGCGGTGGTGCGGATGATGCTGATGACGTTGTTGCTGATGATGATGATGTTGGTAGCGATGGTGATGGTGATGGTGAGTAGAATGATGTTGCTAATGATGACGACGATTAGGATGATGGTGACGCTAAGGATGATGCTGACGATGCTGCTGATGATGCTGCTGATGGTGATGATGGTGATGCTGATGACGAGGATGATGATGGTGATGATGATGATCCCCGCGTCTGAAGGGGTCAGGAGCTCCTAGCTCATACTGCCCCTCGGACCGTGGCGTTCCCCTTTGGCCCCGCGGTGGCAACGCTCGGTCTCGTGCCCAAGGCGCACGCGCAGATTCGCCTGAGTGCCGAGAAGCCGCCCCCCGCCCCAGCCGAAGCAGGCAGAAAACGACACCCGGGCAGTCACGGCGACCCAGCCCGCGACGCCCGCGACCTGGCATGGGGCCTCGAGCTGGGCCCCCAGGAGGACGCCGGCCGCTGCGAGGGCGGTCCGAGAGGCGGCCCCCCCCTCCAGGAGCTCGCGCGCAGACAGGAAGCCCGTGCCGCCGTCAAGGCCGCCGCGCTCCGACCAGTCCTCGCACGCGCTCACGCCCGCGCCCAGGCCCAGGTCGACCTCGCGCTTGCACTGGCCCTTCGGGTCCTCCAGCCCGCCCTCGAAGAAGCCCCCATCCTCGTCCAGGTCCAGGCCGAACTTGCGCCTGTGCATGCCCATCTGGCCCTCCAGCGCCTGGGAGGGGGCGCTCGGCTCAGGGGGCTCGACCACCCGCGCGTCCATGGCCCTGAGCGGAGGCTGAGCTCGGTCGATGGAAACGCCCACCCGAGCGTCTGCGGCCTCGAGCACGAGCTCGCCTCCCCCCCCCTCTAGGGCATGCCCATGTCTGGGCCCCCCAAGGACGCCCCCGCGCCCCGACGCCAGCCGCTGGGAGGGGGCCCTCACCCCAGGGACTTCGACCACCCACGCGTCCGTGGCCCTGGAATGGGGCTGAGCTCGGTAGAGGGCTTCGGCCACCCGCGCGTCTGCGGTCTTGCCCCAGAGCTCACCCCCCCCCATTCTGGGTCTGCCCAGCAGCGGGCTCCCCAAGGACGTCTCCGCGCCCCGACGCCGACGAGGGGCCTCTCACCTTGGGCTTCGGCCACCCGCGCATCCGCGGCCCAGGGTGGAGGCTGGGCCTGGTCGAGGCTTCGGCCACCCGCATGTCTGCGGCCTC